GATCACTTGAGATCAGAGTTCAAGGACCGCCTGGCCATGTGTTTCGGTGCACCCTTGTCTTCTTCTTAAAAATACACAAAATTAGTTCCAGGTGTGGTGAGTGCGCACCCTGTAATCCCAGCCAAGGCGGGTGGATCACTTGAGATGGGGAATTCGAGACCAGCCTGACCCACATGGAGAAGCCCTGTCTCTACTAAAAATACAAAATTAGCCTGGCGTGGTGGTACATGCCTGTAATCCCAGCTACTCAGGAGGCTGAGGTAGGAGAACTGCTTGAACCCAGCAGGCGGAGGTTGCAGTGCACTGAAATCGCACCACTGCACTCCAGCCTGGACAACAAGAGCAAAACTCCGTCTCAAAAAAAAAAAAAGAAAAAGAAAAAAGGAAACAAGACGGTGACTCCCTCAGTGAGGTGACACTTGGTTAAGCAGATGAGCAGGTCAGATGGAGGAGACAGTGGTGGTTCCAGACCTCTGCAAGCACCATGGGAACAAGAATCTAGTGTGCACCTGTATCTTCTCTCCCCAGCACCCAGCTAGGTTCCCAGCATGCAGTAGAAACATGGGAAAACGGCTCACCCTGACCCACTCCGTCGACAGCCAGCAGGATGCTTTACAAGTACATCGGCCACGTCACTCTCAGCTTAGACCCTGAGTGATGGGAGGCCCTGACCCGCTGGGTGCCATGTGTACCCCATACCCGTGACCTCATGTTCTGATTCTCTCCCCGTCACCTGTGCCCCAGCCACACCTGGCTGCCTGTTTCTCAGACCTCGCACGGCTGCCAGGGCCTTGGCACCTGCTGTCCTTCTGCTTGGAAGGTTCTTCTCTTAGGTGCCCACTCAAAAGTCCCCTTCTCATCGAGTCCTCCCTGGGCCCCCTGAATTTCCAACTGCCCCCATCACCTCAGAGCCCCCTCGTTAGTTTCCTCATCCTTGCACTTATTCTAACACACGGTACATCCTACTTATTTGCTTTGGTTGTCTAGAACATAACACCATGAGGATAGGTATGTTTTGTGTTTTGTTCAGCTCTAGAATAGTAGAACAGTGCCCAGCTCTTAGTATGTAGTCAATAAATAGTGACTCCATGAGTTAACCAATGAGTGAATTAATGATCAGCAAATGAATGGATTAATTAACGAGTGAGTGACCAGTAAGAGCGAACCAATGAGTATGTAGACTGCTGTGTGACCAAGTGGGCCAGTGAGAAAAGTGGGGGGCAGAGGCCGGGTGAGCTCCCTGGGATGCGGGTAGCAAGGACAGGGCTGTGGTGTAACTAAGACATGGTGCCCCCTGCCCCTGTCTTTCTTCTGCAGGGAGAGGGGCTATTTTGGTCCTGAGTACTTTTAACCCATGTGAACCACGCGAACAGGTGAACAGTTGGAGGTCCAGGAGCAGCAGCAGGGGCCCCTGCCTGCTTGGGGGCCCCGAGTGCTGGCATGATCTGACTCTATGGTGTAGGCGGGGTCCGGGCCCACTTGGAGGGGCAGGATATGTCGTCGGACCACAGTTGGGGGTGCCAGACTCGGGCCACGCCATATTTGGTGTCAGAGCCCAAGACCCAGGAATAGAAACTGTGTATGGGGCCAAGTTGGCCGCAGCCCAATACCCGGGTGACCTCAGGCCCAAAGCATGCTCCTGGCCCCCGAGACAGGCCTCACAGTTGCAGCCTATGTCCTGGGCCTTCTCAGCTGGGCCTGGCACACTCCTGCTGCCTGCCCCTGCCTCCAGGCTCACCACTTCCCACCCTGTCACCAGGGAGCTATTCCCAGTTAGCCTGTTACTGTGGCCACTCCCCTGCTTTAAGCCCTTCCATGGTTCCCACCACCAGGATCCCCCATGACTCATCTTAGGCAGGAAGTGAGGAGTGAGGAGAGGTGCAGGGCATGGCCGAGCGTGGTGGCTCACGCCTGTAATCCCAGCACTTTGGGAGGCTTAGGTGGGCGGATCACAAGGTCAAGAGATTAAGACCATCCTGGCCAACATGGTGAAACCCCATCTCTACCAAAAATACAAAAATTAGCTGGTGTAGTGCTGTGTGCCTGTAGTCTCAGCTACTCAGGAGGCTGAGGCAGGAGAATCACTTGAACTTGGTAGGCAGAGATTGCAGTGAGCTGAGATTGCACCACTGCACTCCAGCCTGGCGACAGAGCGAGACTCCATCTCAAAAAAAAAAAAAAAAAAAAATCGAGAGGTACAGGGCAATGGAGACAGAGGGCCAAAGGCTGGGTCAGACTCCTACTGGCTAGGTTCTTGGCACCAGCTCTGCAGGCCCCAACTAGGGGTATCAATATCAGGGGCCAGGCCCAAGGGCTTAGGAAAGGCCCTCCAAGCTGGTGCTTTTCATCCCTACACGAATTGCACCCCCACCTGTCCCTACAGTAAGGGCACTACCCCTCCCGCCCTGTGTCCAGCCCAGCTCAGCCTAGCACTGGCCAACCATGACCCAACGAAATGGAGTCCGCACTGAGCCCTCCATCCAGGCTGAGTGCTGACAGAGAGGCTCCCAGAGCACCAGGGTTGTGCCCTTGGAGATTCCGATGTCCTGACGGGAACACAGAGGCCCCAAGAGGGAAAAAGGTGTCAGAGGCGTGTGAGCCAGACCAACACCATCTTAAATAGGAGGTGAGTAAAATGAGGCTGACACCTACTGGGCTGCATTCCCAGACAGTTAAGGCATTGTAAGTCACAGGGCGAGATAGGAGTTCAGCACAAAATAGGTCATAAAGACCTTGCTGATAAAACAGGTTGCAGTAGAGAAGCCGGCCAAAACCCACCAAAACCAAAATGGCCATGAGACTGACCTCTGGTCGTCCTCTCTACTAGTCTCCCACCAGCACCATGACAGTTTACAAATGCCGTGGCAATGTCAGGAAGTTACCCTATGTGGTCTAAAAAGGGGAGGTATGAATCATCTACCCCTTGTTTAGCATATCATCAAGACATAACCATAAAAATTGGTAATCAGCAGCCCTAGGGGCCGCTCTATGGCGTAACCATTCTTTTATTCCTTTCCGTTTTTTGTGTGTGTGTGACAGAGTCTTGCCCTGTCGCCCAGGCTGAAGTGTAATGGCCCAATCTCGGTTCACTGCAACCTCCGCCTCCTGGCTTCACGCAATTCTCCTGCCTCAGCCTCCTGAGTAGCTGGGATTACAGGTGTGTGCCACCATGCTCGGCTAATTTTTTGTATTTTTAGTAGAGATGGGGTTTCACCATATTGGCCAGGCTAGTCTTGAACTCCTGACCTCAAGTGATCTGCCCACCTCGGCTCCCAAAGTGCTGGGATTACAGGCGTGAGACACTGCGCCTGGCCCCTTTACTTTCGTAATAAACTTGCTTTCACTTTGCACTGCAGACTCGCCCTGAATTCTTTCTTGCCCCTTGGCATGAGTGACCATGACCCTCCTGTCACTCTCGGTCACATCCCTCGACATTTCCTTTCCTTGATCATGGACCTGGCCCAGGGAGCTCACTGAGGACTTGGAGAGCCCCATGCAGGGCCTGGGGAGGGCTCTGGGTCCCTGTGAGGGCAAGGGCCGCAGAACTGCACAGAGGGAGAGGCTGAGCCGTGAGGCTGTCGTCACCACAGAGGCCTCGGCCAGTCCCCGGGGAGTGCTGTAGCTGGGCTGGCCTTCAGAGATGTTTATTCCAAACCAGAGTCGGGGCTATGATGGTTAATTTCATGTGTCAACTTGACCAGGCCACAGGGTGCCCCAATTAAACACTACTTCTGGGTGTGTCTGGGGGTGTTTCCAGATGAGATTAGCATTCGAGTGGCGGACTCGGGAAGCAGATGGCCCCCAGTGTGGGTGGTCCCTCAACCCTCGAGGGCCTGAGTAGAAGGAAAGGCTGAGGACGGAGGAATGTGCCCCTGTTCTCCTGCCTCACTGCTGAGCTGAGACGTCTTAT